AGTGATGCTACTGCATCCATCATGCAAAATCACGAAAATTTTGAGGACCGAAAGATCGCATTACAAATGAATTATCATGATTACAACGAAGCGGAAAATCACGAAGACTTCCCGATGCCTCGCGATCCATATGTACTTGAGGACTATGAGTACGATCGACAGAAGGATGAAGGTTCCGACTATTTGGACACTTCATATGATTATCCAAATGAAAGGCAATGGAAATACAAAAAACGGGGTGGAGTGGATAATGCATTCTACGATAATGGCTACGCTATTCCTCCTTTGGAAAAGCATGATGATGTTATGATGTCCAGCCAAATACCTCCACCACATCAGGCCCCAGAGTTTTTCAACTACGCCCATTCTCTGCCCTTAATCTTTAACAATAATTTTATGAGAAAAGTTCCACTGGACATGGAAGGAACATCTGGAACTTATTCTAGATTCATGCATGGCTACATGCCTCCTAATTACTGGATGGGGCAAAGGGCAGGATTTGCTTCGAAACTGCCCTCTAAAATTCTAGAGCCACACGGTTACCAAAGAATGCGACAGTTTAGACCGTTCACGGATTCACCTGTAATGCCGATATCCAACACACATCCAGTTTTTGGGGGACTCTTTTATCCCAAAAATATTAGAGAGGCAGTCCATATGCATGCAATTCCAAAGCATCCACCAATGAAGCAAGATCTACCGCCACTGATGTTTTCGTCATTTGGACCACCGCCATTTCTGGGCCCACGTCCACCGGGTCCACCTCCACCAGGTCCACCTCCACCGGGTCCACCTCCACCGGGTCCACCTCCACCGAGTCCACCTTTCCCGGGTCCAGCACTACATCATATCTATGAGAAATTCGTTTATCCCCAAAATGTTGAAGAGAGGTTTCTTATGCGTACAGTTCCTAGGTATCCACCAATGCGACAGGATCGACCTTCAATGATGTTTTCCCCATTTAGGTCAGCGCAACCTCTGGGCCCACCCTCACCAGTTCCACATGCGCCGGGTCTATTATTGCCTGACCCAACAGCATTTGTTCCACATCGTGGTGAACCGGTTCGTTTGTTCCAAGTTTATCCTTGGCATTACATGCCGCAGGAAACAAGGAAAGCTGAAAATGAAACGCAGCAAGTTTCTCACCCAGTAGAATATTTGCTTTCGCTTTTAACAAGAAGCTTTTCGAGTCCTAGAATAATGTGGCCAGTTCCCTCCAAAAATCTAGATTTAAATGGAGTACCTCAAAAAGCATTGAAATTAAGAAAGTTGAAGGAAGTGCATAAGGAGTCGCCACTTGATAGTAAGTTCTGCATTATTTTTAAACAACAGTACTTTGCTCCAATTGCAGGTGTTATTCCTAAAGTCAGCGACCTGCATCGATCAGTTAGCGAACAGCACAAGATTCTAAACAAGTCTGAAAAGACGAAGAATTTCAACGCAGAGGAGATCGGGAGCGTTTTCAATGAAATTCCTGATGAGCCGCTGGAAACTGGTACCGCGGCGACTAAACGCGACACGAGTGGTCAGTTGCAGAAAACTGACTCAGAGAAATTGACCAATAAGGAGCATAACACTATTTCAACTTCGTCTCCAGATATCCCAACTTCTGACAGAGCACTAACTGCTGTGAAGACGGACAAAGTTCAAGTTGGAGATAAAACCGACATGATGATCAATCGCCCGTTGCGAAACTCCGATGTTGTTGAGCAAAGAGAGATAGAGTTTACACCTTTAGGAAATGACAAAGAAATTCACTATAAGCCGGTTACAGGTGGATATGTGGATACGAAAGGCTACAGCGGATCGCAAATCAATCGTGAACATGATGCAGGATCGTTTGAATTTTCGGCGCTCCAGTGAACTTCATCGACGTTCATAATGAATTTCAAGATGTCATTTCATTACTGTAGAATAAGTACGTCATTTCTATGCTAATTCTTGCGATGTAAGCGAACTATATTTAAGTAATATGGTAGTAGCTACATGTCAAATAAATTTTATCACAGCATTACTCGTGTAAAAGATTTACATATAAATTTTTGCTGCTTGTAATACTGATATAAATTCCGGCCAATCAACCCGCATGCAACTTTTCGCTGCAACGTGCAGTCACGTTTAACAAAATTTTTGTCAATCACTCAGGCAGGTCAGATGGTTGATGTGAGAAGATATGGTGACAGTAACAGTGAGAAAATTAGTAGAAGCAATAGCTAAAATAGGAGGTAGTTGATTAATTCACAGCGCCGTGAGTGAAGCGACGGACGAATGCAATTCAGCAACATTTGCGTAATTTAGAAATTTATTCACACCATCAAACAATGTAGTATCTTCTGAATTCTGCAAGAAAACGAAAATAACGCTCTTTCCACAATAAACTGTTTAAAGACGAATGCAGACAAGAAGGATCTATCCTTTTTTCAGACTTTCTGTGAGCAAACTCTTCTGATTCACTCTTGTTTTTAAAAGCGTGAAGAATTCAGATACCGATATACTTTATCAAATGAACTGCCTGCAGCTACAGCTTGCGCCACTGATTATCAGATCAGCTGAAAACTCGTATTTCCTGCAACCGCTGGAGCCAAAATCATGTACACGTTTCAACTTATGCCTTGTAATGCCATGCAATATGTTAATATTTTTATGACTTAGTATAGCTGCTTAAGGAAGTGTTTAACCAACCAGCAACCGATGCGATCAATTAATCAATTACTTTAATCAATACATTGATCCCTGATTTTCAATGACTGGAAATAACTCCGCTGAATGCTCAGGTTACCATGAAGTAGTCGCCAGCATACTGAAAACAGGATTTTATCGAAAATAGCTTCTTTTGCTGAGGAAAATCCAGAAACAACATTGAAACGTCCTGATTGGAACTATGCACTGACATTTTGTTAAATTCTTAAGAGCTATGCTCACTGGCAGAGTCGCGATGAAGCAAAACTGTCTCAGAAGATCTGCCATGAATTCCACCAAACAGATCTTGATGTCATCGGTGCCGGTAACGTAGCGCGTCGACAGTGAAGTAAAAC